CCAGTTTGGACTGCTTTTAAAAGGGACTAGAGGGCACTGTTATCAGTTACTAGTCCTGATGGCTTTATGCTACCTGCAGCACCAGAAGCAGCATGCCTATGTTCACCAGTTGCTGAAAACGTGGGTGGGAGAATGCTGTTGCTTTCATGGGTTTCATGCATCACTTATGGGTTTCTTGTGGGCAGCTGGTGGACCACTGTATGAACAGAATGAAGGAATGGCATTTGACCTGATCCAGCATAGCTCTTCTTAGGTTCCTATGTCAACCCACCCATAAGCAAAGGGAGGCAGACTTCTTCAAGAATTGGTTTAGAGCTCTTAATTGTTACATTAAAATGCTTTTACCATGGGGAAGGAGAGTGCCATTTGAATTATGTGCATTTGGGATAAAAATACCTTGGCCCAAATCTGGGGCAGACTCCAAAACATCCCAGACAAGGCATGTAAGTACAAGTGACAGGATATGGAGAAAGCTTGCAGTTTCCTTGTTCTTGAGCCAGGGCAAAGGTAACAGCACCCGAAACCTGTTTGAGGGAAAGTGAGGTTGCCAAAGATGAAGAGCCTAGAAGGAAGAACAATTACCATCTGTTGTTACATTTCTATTTGCATAGGAAAGCGAGCATGCAATTAAGCACTAGACTTTTATTAACACATCCACTCCAGAATTCTGTAGATCCCATAACCATGCAACAGACAGGTAGTTAGTTTATCTAGATGGGGATATTACAAGGTAGAGCCCCAACAGTTCATAAGCACATTACAATATGATGAATATCCTTAACTCTGCACTAGGAAGAAGATCAAAATTTATTGATTATAAAGAGTCCTAAAACATTGTGGCTTCTTGCAGGCCTTTGGAACTACAAGGTCCAATCAAATGCGAAAAGAAAAAAAAACATGAGATGCAATAGCACAATTTCTGGCTAGTCCTCTTTCTAGCTAGAATGTACTGCAAGTGACTTCAGGAGACCACAGCAATGGTCAAGGTCTCCTTCCCCATGCCAAGACAGAGACACCACTGCCAGTCACCTTCACTGAGTTGTCAGTTGGAGTTGAGCAACTGCTCTTCTCTGCTTCTGCCTCTCTCTGCTTGATTCTGCGCACCAGACTGAGCTTTCCCCTTGGGGATCCTGTATTTGTTCTTCTGGCTGTAAAGCAGGTTTGTCTGGAAGAGGCGAGGGATGTTCCCCTGATACAGGAACAGAGCTATCAGCATTCCTGGAAAAGACGAAAAGGAAATCCATGGCCTAAGGACCCATCAAGCCTGGATGAGAGGCTGCCTGGGAACCTTGTGTGTGATGACTTGAGAGCCACATAAATGTACTAAATTACTAAGCCTGTGCTATATGAAACTTTTGCAGAGGCAGACAGCGGATAAGGTTAGAGCTCAGGGTTCCCCAGGGCCAGCTTTTTGAAAGTTCCTGAGCAAGGCAGCCACAAAGTAAGTGTGTGTGCGTGTGTTGGGGGATGGGGGCTCCTCTACTTTTGCTCTGGCATTGTCACCAGCTGCTATGGCTCCTCAGTCTTTCACTCTATTCCTAGTGCACGCTTAATGGGCGGGCAACCAATGAGCAAGCGGTATCCACTGCTCCTGCTCTGGGCCAGAGCAAGAGGCATCTTCCATTGGAGCATGCAGTGAACATTGTGGGAGGACAGGATCAGCAAAGCTAGCCTGCGGCTCTCAAGCGTAGAGGAGCTTGTATTCCTGTAACCACTGCTGGAGGTAAAATTCAACTGCCAGCCTAGTTGGCATCTGTATTAGGAAAGAGGAAGGTGGGGGAGACTTGGCCAGTTCCTCAGACAGCAAAATACCTTGGACCAGCCCTGATTTGGGTGCAATTGCACTTATTAAGCCAGAGGAGGCACTCCCCTTATTCTGACTTGCCATACACCTGATTGTGCCGCCCAGAACTTAATCTATTTATTGGAAGAATGGGCTCAACTAGTCTTCTCTGACCTAATGCCCTCCACATAAGTTGGACTGCAGCTGCCATAATGCCCAGTCAGCATGGCCATTGCTAGCTAGCAATTACAGGAGTGGTTGGAGGGCACCTGGTTGCGGACAGTAGGACTAGCTTACAAAACCTGCATGATCGGTAAGGTTGCAGGTGTTTGCAGAAAGACTCTGAGCCTTTTATACAGGGCACCTTCAATATAAGCAAATTAGAAGCAAACACTATAAGCAGATTAGAACATAAAAGGGTGTCAAACATCTCTTACCAAGAATACCAAAAGCAAGTAAGTACTTTTGTGCTACCACTTTATTCCCAAATATTTAAAAATATTGTCCATTAGTTTTCTTTTGTTCTAGAAATCAGAAAGATTTCCTGTAACAACATTGCTGGCAATTAAGAGAAATAGGATATGTGTGTAACAACTGTGTGCAGGTAGATCAAATGAAAGTTGATATTTAAGCAGCCCTTCTCTGCAAATCCATTAGGGCAAAGGTGTGGGTGGTATGAAGGAGAACCCAAAGACTGGAGCAGGAGCCAGGGGAAGGAGAACCCAGACCCAGCTCTGTTGATTTTTCAGGTATTCTTGGCACTTGCAGGAATCAATTTTATGCCTGCCTCATAACTGTAGAATTTCCTGTGGAGACTTAAAGTTTTTCAAAAGGACACCTGTCACATTTGGAGGGCAAAAGAAGATCACATTTTAAATCTTAGCTTTTTATTGCATGACAACAAATTAGGATGCCATATGTGTCTAGACAGAAGGAAGTCCTACAACTCCCAGCATTCCCCAGCTAACACAGGTGAGCATGCATAGAATTGTACTCTGAGACAAAGGGCTCAGCATGAAGCCCCACTTTTCACTTTATCATCCCATGTTTTTCACCATCTCTATCGCATTCTCTTCCATTTTTAATTACAAGAGAAACTGCCTAGGTTATATCAATTTACTTGATGGATAAAGAGAGCCTTTCTGGCTAATGAGGTGGAATATAAATCTAATAAATCTAACAAATAAATAAATACTTGATATAGCCAACTTGTGACCTTTCAGAGATTTTAGCTTAAAACATTCATGATCCCTCCCCACTGACTCCAATGGTAGGAGCTGATAAGAGTAATAGGCCAAAACATCTCTAGAATCACAAGTTAGCCATCCCTGATGCTTCCTAACCAAATGCTGTTTAGTTAAAGGCTCCCTCTCCCTCCAACATTTTTAACATTTCCAAGATTGACTACTTCACATTCCCATGGAGCATCATCTTCTCCAGAGTGCCCCCAGGTAGCTTTTGATGCAGCTCTTGTACTGTTGCTAAAAATGTACATCCATGTTTTGCCAGTGAATCTGCTAGCAAGGCACTTCCGCTTTTCACTTTTTGCAATACCAGTCAGTTCAGGGTCCAAGTTTTGGGAGACTCTCAGGCCAGGTACTTGCAGGAGTCCCTGACCTCGTAAGTCGTCCTTCTCATCACCATTGGCACTAGGTGTTATCGCTTTTTCTCATCAATGCTACCACCACTGCTGAGGCCAGAATGAGGAGCAGGTGAACAAACAGGCTGCAGTGGTGAGGAGGAAAAGCAACTCTACTTGTCAATGGGATGCTCCTGGAGTGTGATCCCAACCTTTTAGGCAGGTGCCCAGCCTTGCCTACTTTTGATATTGGCACTAAAACCAAATAGCAAAACTTACCTCTTTCTTGTGGATTTGGGGGACTGCTTTCAAATAGGTCCATATCTAACTTCCTGGAAACTCTGAGACACTTTGACTACATGGGGACATCACACTACTGCCTTCATTTACCTTTGAGACTCTTCTCTGCCCCTCTGAATGCCTGTCACTATAATCATTTTATTTTTATGTTGTGAAACCTTTAAGAAAATGATAGTTTTGCTCCTGGAGTGACCCGCCTTCCATTTGAACACAACTAGTCTCAACATTAAAATATGTTTCAATTAGATAATAATATTTCATTGTACATTTCAAAGTGACCAAAATAAAACTTGATAGAATATAAACATTAGTGCATGTTCTAGTAAATTCAAAGTTGCAAGGGCAGTTGCTGTTTCCACTCTCTTCAAAGCTGGCTCACCTGTGATGGGTGCCAGCCAATACACCTGAAAGTACTCCAGTGAGCTATTCCCAGAACAGGTAAAGGTCACGACATAGGCTAGGGCAGGGTTAAAAAAGGCTCCTGTGAAAGGTGCAGCTGCAGGAGAAGAAAAACAAGCAGTTTAGCCCACCACTTTTCTTACTATATTGGCTTTCAGCTACTAATATGTGTGATGATAAAAACAGAATTAAATGTATTTAAATGAAAACCAAAGAGTATGATCTGGAAGTGCTTCTCATTTCCAGTATCTGAGCTCTTGTGCTAGGATGGAGGCCCAAGGAAAGGAAAGTACACCAACAACAGCCAAGAACTGAAATTGAAGGATTTTTCCTAATAATAGGGTAGAGAAAAGCTCAGTTAATGCTGGTGAAAATTTCCAAATTTTCAACTGGAAATCATCACAATCCCTAAATGAATTCCTTGACAGTTCTTGCTACTAAACATCTGATTTTCTCCAATAGTAAAGATTAACAGTTGTCTTTTCTTCACTGTGATGTTGTCAACTGAACAAAATGTTCAAATCAAATAAGTGCCAACCTGGTTCCCTCCAGATATATTGGACTGCAAAGCCTGCCATACACCATTAGTAGATGAAAGAATATCTAAATGCAATCTAGATATTAAATTATAATGTATAGATCTATATTTATTTATTTATTTAGGAGACTCTATGCTGCCCCATTCGCCCAAGCCTTGGGGCGGCTCACATCCATAAATAAACTTTCATAAAATAATATAAATTAACAGTATACCTGTATCCAAATACAGCTTTTGTGCTTTGTAAATCCATAACATAGCAAAAAGCAGGAATTCAAGCTGGCATCCTTACCTGCATAGGCCAAAGCAGTAACTGTAATTGCCACAATAGGTATTCTGTACATGAGAGCACTCATCTGGAATCTGAGAACCACTAGCTGGAAAAAAAATGAACACAGGGCTTCCACAAAAATACCATGGGAGACAGAGGTGCTGATAGATGAACTGCAGTCTTGGGCCATTAAGTTCTGAATGATATGGAAATCTGTCAGTTCCCTGGACCAATACTTCTTTGTAAAAGCAAAAGCTACTTCCATCCCTACAAACTGGGCCAAGAGTTTGGCAACAGTAGCCTTCAAAGAAAAATCCAAAGCTAGAAATTCCTGAAGAGAAATCATAGGGTTGGCAGAACTGCCATCTGAAGTGGCACCATGAACTGAAAAGAGAAGAAAGAGCAGAGTCAGGCTCACATCCGGGCCAAAGCCACCTCCCCATGGACCAATATCCCTCAACATCTTCAGTTCAAGAAAGCAGGTGCACATCTGGAATGAGCTGACCAGTTCACTAGCAAAATAAAAGTAGACCTTAGGTGGAAAAATTCTCTTGGAGAATCTCCTGGTCACTTCACAAAGGCAAATGATGGAAATGAAAAAGGCCATGGAGACATTCAAACCAGCCATGCTGAAAATCACCGTGAGGTGAAATGTCTCCTATAAGCCAAGGGACTTCACTGCATGGGAAGAGGGGGAAGGGAAGTAAAAGCAACTTAAGCAAACGTGGCAGAGGCTGAGAGGCAACCAAGTCAGTAAGGTCATGGAAATATCTGGGAAAACGAACACATTTGAAACCAAGAAGGAACTGGCTTGGACAGAGTATAGCTCCTTTATCATCTCCACATTAGCTCTAACTGGAATTTCAACTTTGTTCTTTTGTATGATTACTGACACCACTCAAAGCTGCTTTAGCTAGAATGCTAGTAAGCTGCAGCCTTGAACTAGTCCCATATAAACAAGTAATTTTATAGTTTGGTCCAACAAATGACTCCTGAAGCACAGCAGCTGAAATTTGCCCACAAAGTTGTGGGTTGTTAATATTATTTACAGATGAGGATTGTGTGATCCTGTGGCTTTGTCATTATTGCTTCCTGGGTCATTAGCTGATGTTGTCAACTACACATGGCCTAGAAACAAAGGCTCAATAGGTTGTATTCTCTAGGCGCATTTCTCTTTATACAAGAACTATTAAGACTACTAGTCCTGCAGAGAAGAGGAAAGCCTGTTCACATGCACAAAACTGTTCAAGGTTTTAGATCCTGAGATAACTAGGAAGTCTGGGTGTTGCAATGGTACCCCCCACTGCTCCTCAGCACAAGACCAACTATGTATTCAACACTAAGCTCCTTGAAAGTGCCCGACTGGAACAGAAAATAGAAGTTATACAATAGTACACTATAGAACTACCAAAAGATTAATCTGAGGTGAAACCAGAGTAATTTCTAGCCATTCTGCCTCTGGATTGTGCAAATGATCCAGTTCTTGAATGTTTGGTTTGGCTCAGAGAAAAACCCATGCTCCACTTTGCCTCATCATCCTTGCTCAACCACCTTGCTGGAATGAAGATTACAAATTGGGGGAAGGAGTTGGGTGAACAATGGAGCGTGTAAGTATAGCAGATAAGCATTTTTATTTTTGTTTTATCATTGTTTTATGGTTCATTTTGTATGCCACCATGTTTTCCCTGAAAGGAGGCACATCAATCTTCAAAATAGTTTCATTTCAATTGAAAAATAGCTCTTCCTCTCATGCAGCACTAGCCAAAAAAAAGAGGTGGAAATAGGAGCAGAGCAGATCACAAGCAGCAAGGTACCAAGCTAGCACAGAACACTTTCAGATATTGCCATCTCCTGTAATGGCAGCTGCAAATCTGGAAACAAAGCAGAAAATTCCACCTTTCATGGGAGAATGAGGCTACAGCTGCTTTTGAAGTTGTTATTGCCCTTGTTCTTTATCCCCCTGCTGCTATGTTGTAACTAGCAGCCATCGATATATGAAAAAGCATAAATGCTATCTGGTTTGTACCATGTCTAGTGTGCCAAAGAACTAGGCACCTATGAAAAGTACTACAACTGCCACAGGAAGTTGAAAATCTTGCAGCACCCTCTGATTCATGCAGTAGCACAGAAAGTTCCTCCTCAGAAACCATTTATACTTTCAGAACCATGCAGGACTATCTCTGCACATTCCTCTGCAAAGTAGTTAACAGCTTAGGGCATCTAGAGGGGGTGAAGATTCAAGTAGCAATACCATTACAATTGTGGCATGTATTTTCTGGCACCATGTGCAGGCCACATCTTAATGGACCCAAGTGACTCTTAACAAGCAGTACCCAAAGGAAGTGTGGTTAGCTCTCCGTAAGCCCTATTATAGTGTAACCATTCACAAGATCTCCTACATTCCAGTTAAAATTCTGAAGTTTTCTTAACATAATTGCCAAATGGGTGAAAGTCATCTCTAGAGTTTTGTGAATGCAGTCATCAGGGGAATTTTTATACACCCACCCATGCACAAGTTTGCTCCACTGAAATCTATAAAATGTGCCTGCTGTACAGGAATTGAAGCATGCATATTTTCTGAAGTCACAGCTAAATGGCAGTTTAAGAACCAATACCCATTTCTTAACACTGCTCCAACCAAACCATCACACAACAGTAGATGAAGGTCACAGCCATCTGTGGTTCCTTATAAGCATTCCTGTGTTGGTGTTGTTCACATCTTACATTTTTAGATGTGCACCTAAAAACGCAAGGTATAACATGACTCTCAGAATACCCAAACTGAGAAGCTGAGTCTTCTTCTCAAGAGTGCAGTAATTACTAAAAAATTAGTGTTTTACTAGATTATATCCTATGATATACTTACACATCCTTTCCATAGGAAAAAAACTAAATGTGGCATAACAGAACCGGGTGTTACTAAGGAATCTCACTGGCACAACCCTCTTCAGGAAACTGGTTTTGGTCACCTCCAGTTATTCAGAAAATGTAACAGGTTTAGCCACTGCTTCCTAAAAAATGCAAGGATCTCAGCAGCACAAATAACATTGGCAGTAGACACATTCATAATAATTTTTCCCGTTCCAAATAAACGATCATATCATATACTCCTAAACAAAACTTATTTTGATTCTGATCCTATTATTAACTCAATAAGCAAGAAGAAAATAAGAGCCACCAAGCATTTTAGAATTTTTTATTTCTAGCCCTGAAAGAACAAAGTCATTAAACATAGTCAAATACAGTAGTTAATATTGCAGTAACAATTAAATAACAGAATAGGATTAAATTAAAACAAAAGGCAACAAAATCTGAAGACAGTAAAAAAATTGAAAGCTTGCACTACTTTAATTTCCATCTGATAAGAGTGATAAAGGGAACAAAGAAGGGATTTTTTTTAAAAAAATGTACTTAATTCCAGCTATGAAGACAAATTCTCCAACTCATAATAATGGAGTTAGTTTACTCCAAACAGCTCCAGAGTACACATATGATGATCACTTTAGTTAATCAGATATATGATCAAGTGGCAAATATCTCCATGTAAATGAGCAAATGCTTTGTTGTTGTTAAGTAGTGGGGTTTGTTTAAACTTATGAATCAGGAGGGGGAAAAAACCCATGGGAGCTCATCATTCCAGGTAAATCTGCAGTTTCACATCAAAGTTTGCAACTGCAAATGTGCCCAAGACTCAAAAGTTAACTCACTCGAGCATGTTGGCACAGGGAACACAATTTTTTATTCCATGGTGGCTTTTGTCAGCTCAGACTGAGTAGCAAGATCTTAACATGGTTATCTTGAAATCATCATCACAAGCTCAACTTCCACATAAACAACCTCCACAGAAGTCTTTTGCAATGATGGACTGAAGTGGGATCTGGTCCCAGATAGCGCCTGGCATCTTAACATTCAATCTGGGCTGAGAAAGTCACAAATTGAAAATAAGCCCCAAACATGATTGCATGAATCAGCCAGTATGTACTGACATTAGTGACAGGAAATCTGCTTAAGGTGTATTTAACAGTAAGTTAAGAATCAAGAACTTTTCAATGCTGTCCTTAATGTTCTCACCCCTGTGCACTAATAAGCAATATCCCAGGGACATATTCTTTAGTCTTCCATTTCTATACCAAGCTTTTAAGACATTTTCAATATATGCTCAGTCCAATTACCATACAAATTGCATGCAGAGCTGTATAACAAACCATAATGGGTCAGGTACTTTCTGATGGCTCCTCTATCCAACTATGAATTCCCATCTCAGTTCACTCCTACATCTATCCCTAATCTCTTCTAGCAACAGGGGGCAAAGAAATTAGAAAAATGTACAGCTGAACCACTATGATGCAAGTTACACTTAGGAGCCCTTATGGCCATATTGTGGGAGAACTCATGGGAGGCCAAAGAAGCACTTCAGCAACTCCTGAGCTAATCCAAATTGTAAGCAACTTTAAAGGATTTCAAAGCCCTTGCACAGATTCCCTCAACTACTCATTTCAGAAAATGTTTGCATTAAGTTGAAGACAGTAAATGTTTTGTCTAAAGACTGAGATCTTAAAGCAGTGCCACATTTCATTTCTACCATTGAAAGATAAACATCTGTCTATCTCCTAGAAGTCATAGGTTCCACATATTCCATTGCCAGCAACAGATAAAGACTCAATGGTAAGAAAACCAAAATTACCTGTTAGGTTCCTTTTAACTGCTTTTGTTTTATTCACAAGTCAATTTAAGGGAAAGACTATTTTATAGTAACAGTATTCCAAGGCATGGCAAAGGGAATAACAGCACCTAATATACCACTCAGTTCAGGACATTCCACGCCTTGGACCAAACCGGAACACATTCAAAATGCTATGAAAGTGAATTTGCTGTTTTGTTACAAAGTTTTAAATGAATACTTCTGTCAGAACACAGGACTGCAGGATGGGGTGTGGTGATACTTTCAACTGTATTCATTAGACATTTGTTGTTATAAAACAGAATGCGAGCTGCTCCAAGATCTAAGGGAATTGAGCCCTTTACAATGGAATGGCTCATAACTCGGAATCTGGTAGCACACATTTTGCAACCTTGTTCATAAAACCCTAGTATAAAATACGTTATTATGTCAACACATATTAATATTGTTCACAGGTATAAAAGAGGCTTTCCATTGACCATTAGAAATTCTGTAAGAAGTTGTCTCTTAATTAGGGCTGTAAGATGTTCTCCCAAAAATATCAACTGGGAATGCAAAAATTCTGTAGCACCAAATTAATGAGTCTTATGTTATTGTTTGGCACATTATCACTCAGGAACTCTCCATCAAGATAAGCCCAACCAAAAAATCATGGTTTTAAAAAGGCTGATGTGAAATACAATGCAGTCCCCATCATAATCATAAATGTGACCACCTCAACCAGAACTTCAATTCCTCTACGACTCCAATTACTTTCATTTATTTAGGGAGGCACTTTATATTGTATTGTCTTCGGCCACAGTAGTTGATGTCTTTTGAGAGACAGGAACATCATGAGAAGGCATACTTTTTCAGCCATTCACGTAACAATTCAAATAATGTTGAATCTAAGCTAACCTCATACTTCCAATTTTTGTGTCCACAGAATAGCACTTTCGGTGTTCAGAAACTTCAGTTGGCTGAATTATACAAAAAAAAGTCTTGGATCTTCCATTTTTTGCAAATCTGCTGGGTCTTTTGTTAGTAGAAATGATGCATATATATATTTATCTATATTCATATATATATATAAAAAGGAGGAGAGCTCTAATACTTAGTCCTGATAAGTCCAAGTTGCTTTTGGAGGGAAAATGTACAACATATACAAAATGTATTTAATACAAAGAAGGGTAATTTTAAAATTCAAAAGGCACCAGCATAAAGCCCAAAGCCCAAGTCAAAACATGGATACAGCACTTTGCTATAAAATCACACACTTTCAAGACATCCCTTTAAAATGTTATCAACAAGCCTACATAGGCAAGGGAGGAGTGGAAGACAACTCACAAGAATGCAGTTCTCTCCCCAAGCCTAGAAGATGGTTTCAGCATTAAAAAAGGAACACTTTCCTCCTTTTCTCCACATGTATTCAATCATCAAATTGAGGCATCTTTCCCTTATGTTAAGAAGTCCATGCAACAAAATTCTACATCAAACTTTGCTGAGCTTTCTTCTTCCCTCTCTGCCCATGTTCTTCATTATTTAAGGAGAACCATTGTAAAATTATGGATCCTAGGTAGCTGGGTGGTTAATGCTACATCAGTTACAGACAATTGAACATTAAGAGAAAGAGGGTAAAAGGAACTTTCACATTTCTACCATATCTGCCTTTAGTAACTCAGAGTTTGTCGTATTTTCCATGACTGACTGACAAAGATAAAGGAAGGGGGGCAGGTTTAGCAGATCAAAGTAATGCCTCCCTCTGAAAGCTTGAATATGTTGTTCAAGTATTGAAAGTGCCCAAACAGAGCACAATGAGTGGGATCTGGTACAGCAAAGTCATCAAAAGACAGCTCTCAGGCATAATAAAATCCATATCTGAGCTGTCTGCACAGTGGTGAAAAGGCCAGTGATTCAGTTCACAACTTCTTCTAACACTCCTAGAAGAGTTCACCACCACCATTTTTTTTCTTCTCTTGTATCTCCAAGGTGATTTTTTCCCATTCGCAGACTTTCAACCCCCCTAACAAGAGCAACAATTTATATATTACGAAGACTTTTTTTAAAAAATAAAAACAAAAATGATGAAGGCCACAGCAGTAATGCTAACGGCTACTCTTCATTGCTTCTTTGGCTGCAAGGATCAGCGGCGTCAAGCTTGACAAAGGTTTGGCCAGTTTCAGGAAAGGATGCTAACAGAAAGGGAAGAAAACCCATATTAATGGATGAACACTTCAAAGAACACTACACTAACATCAGTTCCAAACATTTTGTAAAAAATACAGAATTGACACACACACACACACACACTATTGTACAGAAAAAGATGCACTAGGTCAAGTTGGAGCTTAAGAGATGGGTGGATACTGAAGTGGAGGTAAACCAACACAGCCCTTAGTGCTTTCATCTGAGCAAGATGGTGATGGAGCTGAATCACAGATTATGCCAGTTCTAGATTCAAAATGCCACCTTGACTTCCTGTTTGACTGAAAACCATAACTAGAAACTATGATTTAAAATACTCACATTTCCAATTATGGCTTGCCAAGCTACAGTTTGCCCAGCTCAAATGAAACACCAAATGGTGCTTCACTGCAAACCAGGAAGTCAAGGGAGGAATTATAGTGACCCAGAAGAGGGGGGCAGTTTGCAAGTTTGGGGCATGGCCTCAATGCTCAAAACACACATTTGGAAGTGACATGTGAATCAAACTGTAGTTCCATGTATCTACAATGTGGCAAGAGTGCTATTTACTTAAACTGCCTTGCCAGTAATCCTTTTTTCTCAAGGACTACCACTATCATGATCTTGTTGTAATGCAAGCAATACTGGGGTGATGTTATCTCATACACTTGGTTCCCTAAAAAATTTTCAATATGGTATGAAAAAGATTCTCCCCACCAGAGAGAATTGCAACAATGCTACTCCTGCTGCCCGCAATCTAGTGACTATTCCAATCTGCAATTTGGAAAGACCAGCTTTAATGAAAGGCATGGGGGATTCTCGTCCTTCCTGATAGCCCTTCACTGAAAGCAAGAACAGTCAGCTAAGCCATGCATTCACAACCTTCCCCTTTGCCAACTCCGAACAAAGGTTTCTGAATCAGAGACACAGCTTTAGCCTGCAGTGGGGGGAGAAAAGAACAAGCAAGATGCATGATACTCTACTGCCCCGAGCCAATTTCCAGAGTGTTATCAGGCACTCTTGCAACAAGCAAACCATATTTGAAGAGTAGTAGGGAGAAGGATGGGACAAATGCCTGTACACAGCAATTTGCTAACAAGGATTGGTGGAATATGAACATTCTTCCTCTAGGGAAATATGTATCAAGGAGCATGGGAGAGGAACAGAGAAACTGATTAGATTCTTCAAGTATTCTAAGCGGAAAATTGGGCAGCTCCCATGGACAAAGCAACTACACTGCGATTCACCTACCAAGAACCTCCCCATAGGCAAATATATTCTCCTTACATTAATATTTCCTTCTGTCTCACATGCTCTTCTACATTCAGCAAATGTAAAAGTCTTCCTGTACAGTAGCTTCACTAGAAAGCATTTTGTCTATAGACCACTCTCTTTACCTGTAACAGTTCTTTGGCTGACCCCCTTTTCTCTACATCCATTTCCAAACAACTATTTAGGAAGTCACGAAATATGGGGGAAAGTTTCTCTGGGTTCTGCAACTCTGGGGTGCCATTAGTTGCTATCAAATATAATGCCTGCAAGAAAAAAATAAATTTCATAAAATAAAAAAAGCTGTTTGCATTCCACAGTAAGTAATTGCATCTGAGTTTAATTCACAAAAAAGCCAGAGGCTTGATTCTTATGTTCCAGGAAATCCTGGGTACATAAGCATATCAGGGACTCCCCTGAGGAAAGAAGAGTCTAGTAGAACAACACTGCTTTTGCAAGCAGGTAAACTCTTCCATAGGGATGCGGGTGGCGCAGTGGGTTAAACTGCTGAGCTGCTGGGCTGGTTGATCGAAAGGTCGACAGTTCAAATCTGCACAACAGGGTGAGCTCTTGTTGCTTGTCCCAGCTCCTGCCAACCTTGCAGTTCGAAAGCATACAAATGCAAGTAGATAAACAGGTACCACTTTGGTGGGAAGGTAACAGCGTTCCATGCACTTCAGTGTTCAGTCATGTTGGCCACATGACCATGGAAACTGTCTGGGGACAAAGGCTGGCTCCCCACCCCCTAAAGTCAGACATGACTGGACATTAATGTCATGGGGAAACCTTTACCTTTACCTTTTTAAACTCTTCCATATTAGCATTCCAAGAGCAGACTGACACAATTTTTCACTAAACTACATTAATCACCTACAGCAAAGGTGGGCAACCTACAGCCCTTGGCCTACTTTCATGTAGTCCTGTCCAAGCTATCATACAAAAGCCATCTGTCCTTCTTCCAGGAGCTACTGGACTAGATAGAAGACAAGAAGTGTCTCAGCTCACTTTTGGATTCACTAACAACATGTAGCTCATTACCTGCAGGGGAATATGGCACTTGACAGAAAATTCCACAGCACTGGCGTACCGTCAGAAGTGTTACCAAAATGCAAAAGTTCAGTGCAGTAGACTTGGTTGTGCACTGAGCTAGCACCTTACCTTAGATGACTGCTGAAGCTGCATTTTCCTGATATTGGACTGGTTACTGAAAGCTTCCAAACTGGAAGTTCTTAAAATATTTAACTACTACTGACTATTTTAATATGCAAAACATTTCTACTGGTAAAAAACCACAGAACCTTTCCTCTTTCTGATCTGCTGCTATAATCATAAACAAGGAAGAACTGTTCTCCAGCATAGTAAAACCTTACCCTCAAAGGATTTTCATTGAGATATGGAGGCTCTCCTTCAACCATTTCAATAGCCATGATACCCAGAGACCAGATATCCACTTTAGGGCCATAGGCCTTCCGTGTTACTACTTCTGGAGCCATCCAGTAAGGCGTCCCAACCATAGTACTACGCTTGCTCTGCTCTGGAGTAATCTGAGCACAGAAACCAAAGTCAGCTGTAAAAAAGAAGGAAACAACACTAAATAAGCCGTACTTATTGTGTGAACCAAATCTGGCTGAACCAAATCTTAACTTTGGGGTGGTGGGGAGGGAGACATGAAGAAACTGGCTAAGAACTCTGGTCAACTTAACAATTTCAATGTTTAATCAATGTTGCCACCTGCTGGCTTAAAGATGAAAACAAACTAAACTGAAAATATTAAAAACAAGTGAAGCATGAATGAAATTTGCTATTTTAGTGTAAAATCCAACACATGCTTTACATATCATACCCCTCATAGACAGCAGGGGTATTTGGCCTACAATTCTTACTATTGGTTACTTTCACTAAAATTGCTTTCAGCTTACAATTTTGCCATTGCTATGTAAATATCCATGGGTTCTCCAAATATAATATTCTTTCCATCCTGTCAATCATATGCTCAAACCAATGAAAGATCTTGAATTCTGTTTCTCACAGCAGATTTTGCACTAAAATTAGCCTAGACATACACACACCAGACATTTTAGTTACGTTGCCAAAATTGAAACTGTCATGCACTTACTCAGCTTCACTGATCCATCCATTCCCAAGAGCACATTGTCACTCTTAATGTCTCTGTGAATCACCTGATTGGCATGTAGGAATTCCAATGCCTGCAAACACTATATGGAGACAATGGAAAACAATGCTGTTCAAACATGCTTAATGTTCACAATGACTAAAAATAGCTTGATAACCTGAAATCATGATTTACCCATTAGGCAGCTAAACAATACCTAAAAGCCATGAAATACTTTACATCTATTTAACAAAAATGTTTGGGGAAATAGTTAACTGTGGAAGCATATTTTGTTGGTGCCTAAAAATAAATTTTCCTTATCTACAATGATCTGTCTACACATGCTGAAGCCCATGTTTTTATCCTACTTTGCTCTTTGTAGTAAATTATATGGAATACTGAAATACTCTGCTCATCCCTCTCTGGAGTCTTTGCATTTCATCTCATCTAGCACTAATAGAATTATTAAACTAACAAAAGCAAAAAAACTGTATCATACATTAGGAAACAAGAACATGCACATACACTTTAACACTGTACAAGAATGTGTTAAAGAACACACAAAGTATGTTTTTAAACAAATTGGACAGTGAAAGAGATACATTCTCACTTCAGAGTGGATTTTATATCACATATATATTAAAGCCTAATTCATGCTGTGTGTGTAAACCTGTGCCTGGGCTGTACCATCACAGACTGCAGGTAAATGGAATCACAAACTTGAACATTATTTCAAACACAAAATCCCTTCCAAATAGAAATTTACCATATCAGGGAGAAGAACAGCTTCCCTTAGGAGAGAGCTCCCAAGTACACAACTGAAAACCGCTCTCCTTGGTTCCAACCAGATATATTCCAGACCATGATGGCCTCTTCTGAATATCTTACTAAGTGGGCAGGCTCACATGGCAAAAGGCAACCCTTAAGGGTTCCAAACTCTAAAAGGCTTTAAAAGTAACCATCAGCATCTTGAGCTGACCTGGAAACAAACTGAAAGCTAGTGCAGTCATTTCTAGGAAATGACTAAAAATTACCTTTTAAGATTGTTTTTTTAAACAGTCTGAATGTCGTGGCCCTTTTTATATAGCTTTTATAGATGCTTTAATTTGTTGTGTTTTAATTGGTTTTAATGTGATTTACTTTGTTAATATGTTTAATATACTGTAAGCCACCTAGGAAGGCCTTGGTAGTAATAGGTGACCTATATATACAAGTATAAATAAAATAAACAAACAAATTTCAACAAGAAGTCACATGCTCCCAGTAGAAAAGCTTAAGGTAACAACTTGGGTGTCACATGCTGAACCAAGTGATGTTTTATAGGTAGCCCCACATGAGGTATGTTAGAGCTGTCCAAGCGTGAAGTAACTAAGATACTTGTCATTATAAGTCAGATCTGCCATCTCCAAGAACAGGCATAGCCTGGTCACAACTTCCATCTGAATGTCCAGGATCAAGGGTGAGCTCAGAACTATCACCAAACTTCAAACTTGTATTTTCAGGGTAAGTGCTACCCTATCCAGCACAAGCTGATTCCCTATTCCTTGGTTAGACATTCTTCCCCACCATCCTAGTTTCCTATGAATACAACTCTTTTTTCTGGGAAACACTGCATTATATAAGCCTATGTATTGCACACGGAACACAATGGAACAAATCAAACACTGGTTTGCCACTTATGAGTAAACACTACCTACTTTTCACCTAAGGGGTAAAGCGTCAAGCAACCTGAAGTATGAACTGGCTCCCATGCCAGTAGGGAAAGTAAGCATTTAATAGGCATTTTACATCTCTTTAGTACAAAAACAGATCTACATACTTTTGAAACTACCACCAAGATGTTTGCATTACACTAATTATTGGCTGAAATAATGAAAGTTGTTGGCAAATTGAAGAGAGTAAGCCAGGAGACACAAAACCAATTCATACATCACAGCAACTCCGATTTTTAAAAATCAGTGTTATTGTGAATGCAACAATACACAGGTAAATGCTGCCATTAACTCATGCTATAAGCATGTAAAACCTACAGACCTTATATCACTGGTTTTTGGGGTGGGGGGGCATTATGTGCAAAGGCAGAAATTCTGGCCTGTCTCTGCCCAAACAAGCAAGAATAAAAAAACCCCTCATACATAATGCTAAATAGACAAATTTTGGGGGGTCAATTAGCTACACGAGCAGTATCCATCAGCGTCCTGCAAAATTCACAATAATCAATTTTAAAAAATAATCCCCCAGGCTAGTGTTCCCTGTTTTATTTTTCAAATTGTCTTAATTCAGACAAACTGTTTGGTATCCCATGTCTTCAAATGCAGTTTATGGTAGGATTAATGGAAAGGATTCTGGAACAATTTTGTTTTAAACTTACATGGTATCTCATTATGTTTATACTGGTAATCTTTTTCTTCCCTATCAGCATTTGTGGTCAAGTAGATTATGCACATGCAACAGTGTGAGTGGATGATGAGAGCACAAATGTAGGCTCTAAGACCGGTTCAGCAGCAAGCCACACTCCTCTGGGTATAACGTTCTACAAATGTCATTCATTATTCAAGATATGTCCTAAAGTTTCCTTCAGCTACAATACTAGAAAATTAAGCTACTCCTGTCAAAGCATTCTACAACTTTAAAACAATGTGATTTAGATTTCAACTGCTATCAAGATTTGCATGGCTATTGATACTTCCATATAATCACTTCAAATGCAGAGCCACAGGCGCTTCACAACCAATCTTTAAAAAATGAAACTAGAATTTGAATGATAATCCTACTTCAATAATGTAAATGCATCAATAACTGAAACATATCCTTTTCTTCAGTTATTACCCACCTCTCTGCAGACTGCAGCAATTTGTGCTTCATCCATACACGTCTCAGTTACTACATCTGTGAGAGACCCACCAGCCAGATACTCCATTACAACAAACAGTTCATCTCCCACTAAGTAACTGAAGATAGAAATAGACAAAATTAAAACTTCAACACACTGAGCCAACAGTTTGAAAGGCAGGAGAAGTTAGATTTAGATAAGATGAAAAAATTGGTTCCATCTGCTTTACCCAAATGCAAACAATTACTGCAGCAGGAAAGTAAGAGTGAATGAGAATTTGCGTGTGTGCATGTTGGCAAAACATTAATTTGGTACAAAAAAATCCCATTTCTAAGATCTGAACCTGATTATTCCACAGAATTATTAGAAACTCAGATTAAAATGTCTCATTTGCTACTTGTGCATCCTACCCTTCCTCCAAGGAGCTTGGAGCAGCATCTTAGCAAAAAGAAATTTTGCCCAAGACTTTGAACTTCATGACTGAGAAAGGTTTTGAACCTGTATGGTACATTTTCTGACCTAGTTCTCCAACTGCTTTATCAAATGCTTAGTTACCTGTCTAGAAAGTTGACTATATTTGGGTTCTTCAGCTCTTTCATCACCAAGATCTCATTGATAATTAACTCCTTCTTGGGCTGTTTTTGAAGATTTATCTGTTTAATAGCAACCTGAAAGTTTCAAGAAGAATTAATGCAAGTGGTTATTCAATGAAAGGCCAATAAAAATGCTGCCCAGATATTATTTAAAACATTTTTATGCTGCCCCCATCGCAATAAAGCCTCAGGGCGGCTTACAACAAAAACAAAGATATACAAAATTATACAAAATTGTACAAATACAAAGTTATACAATAAAAATATTAAAACACGGTGCATCTCGGCTTAAAAAGTTTAAAATCCTACACAATAAATTAACACTTAAAATAAGTTTTAAATAAAAAGGTCTTAGCCTGGCGCCGAAAAACAAATAACGACGGCGCCAGGCGGACCTCTCTGGGGAGCGCATTCCATAGGTAGGTAGGTAGGTAGGTAGGTAGATTAAAAAAAAAATATTGCAGTCAAAGATCAGCTCCACTCAATAAATACATAAATTTAAAAAAGAAGAAAATACATAAAAGGTTATCTGTCTTAAAACCCCACTCAGATTAATAAATACTTCGACACAATATCAGTTATCTTAAGTCAGTAACATTCCCAGACTTTGACCCTGTCCAACTAGTTAGGGCCACACTCCCTCAGGATCTGTCTTCAGACACCCATCACGGCTGTGAATAATTTAGTGACACTGTATACTATTCTTGGGTTAGTGTCAGACAGCAATATATAGACATATTGTTGTTCTGTGCGGCCCAGGAAGTGATTCATCAGTGGGGAAATGAGTGCAGTACGAATATCCCTGTAGAATGTGCTGCCCAACTAAAATTTATAAAGCCTACAATAAACAGTAGCATCCTTACACTGCTATTCCTGATTTCGCTCCTTTGTGTAGATAGATCAACTGATCTGTGGAATGACATCATCTTTACAGGCAGGTAAATAAGCAAGCAGCAGTGAGTGAAAGGAAAGAAAGTAGAACTACATGTCTAGAAAACAGGTGACCTGAGTCAGTTTGAAGAATAGTTTGAATCATACTACAGTAACAGTAATGGTTAACATTCCCTGATTGGACAGGGGGGGAGGAAGTGTTCTTATAAGATAAGCAATGCTAATTCTAGCATTACGAACAGATTATTTGAAAGAGAGTTTTTGGCAGGAAAATAAATTTATACAAACATCAAGGCCTGAAATGGTAAGTGAAAGCCAAATATGTGTATGGGTGAACCCATTGTAGTTTAATCTGATTTATATTGTACTGAGTAATGTGAAATAAAAGCTAAGAGAGCAAGGCTACAAGGCTGAGTTAAGTTTGCTAACAAGGATTAAATGGTGCAGTTAAAATCATAATATAAAGAAGGAAGTATCCTTAGTGGATACTTAATCAGCTTAGCGCTTAAATGAGCTGGAATGGGCTTCCACGGGAGGTCGTTGTGGCACCATCGGTGCGGGTGTTCAAGGATAGGCTGGACGTCCACATGGTGGGCATGTCATGAACGGAGCCGGCTGGTGCCGGAGGTCAGACTAGATGGCCCGGGAGGCCCCTTCTAACTCGCTCTGTTTCTATGTTTCTATGACGATAACCATTTGGTACTTTTACAGCTTTTTTTTTTCTTGGTTCTAAAGAAAAAAATCTTGGTTCTAAAAGGTTAAAATGTTTCTCTTACACACTAGTTCTAAAATCAGTAAAAGCTTTAAACTACAACCTGCTACAATTTCAGCATCATCCCTCTTCCCCTTCAACTTTGCACATCACTGGAATATACCCTAACAGCTACTGCAGAACAGAATTTGGCCCATGGGCTGAAATTCTGCACCTTAATTTAAATTCTGGGTTACTGAGAATAAGCCAGCATGATGATGTTCAGTTGCTCCCACTTGACTTCTCCTGCCAGTGGGAACAGCTGTATAAACTTACTGATGCTCCATCGTGGCTTCATCAATGTTATGTCCAAATTAGGAACTCGGATAAGTCTATCCTTGAGCAGAAGCAATTGAATCATATGTACCAGTGTGGTGGTTCACTCACTGCCGCCTGCATTATAAAAAAGTCTGGATTTCCCTAATGTGTGAACTGTGCAGTGTTCTGCAACTCATGGTTATATGCTATGGGGTAGGGAAGGCTTAAGCTTAGAGGTGACCATATAGAAAATGGCAGTTTTAGCTAAAGAAATTAGAGAGGAATGTGACTTTTTCAAAATAAGCCTATTTTGAAAGAATTGTAGAGAAATATAGCTAAAACCAATTTAAAAAGCAACCAATTAAATATGCATTAAATGACATGATTTCAAAAAGGTAAGAATGAAAAACAGCAAGTTTATGAAAACACTTAAGCGGTATGTGCCACTTCATGTGTAGAACCAGGCAAGCAGATAAGACCATCATATTGAAAACAGAATACAAAAAATAAAGACCAAGGAATTATTCGTTAAGAAAAATGGCAAGGTGATGGGAAGGAACAAGAGCAAACCATGTTGGTTCCTTTGCTTCCCTTTCCCCTGCTCTGCAATCAGTTCCTAAGTTCCCTTTTCTTCTAATCCCTTTGACAATCAAGGAGAAAAAAGCAGGTTGCTTACCTGTAACTGAAGTTCTTTGAGTGGCCATCTGTGCAGTCACACATATGGGTGCTGCGCCTGCACAGTGCCTTTGGCCGGAAGATTGCCAGCTAACGGTTTTTGGCGGGAAGCTCCACTCCCCCTCCCCCCGTGGCCTATAAAGAGCGGAGCATCCGCCATTTTGTTCAGTCTTTGACGACTGAACGTACACCCCCATGTGGAAAAAATTGTCACTACTAGATAGGAAAAAGATCGGTACCATGAAAAAAAGGGAACCTTCGCTAACAATGAATATGTCCACTCACCGACACTGAGCGGGGCCAGCGGGTGGGTTGTGTGACTGCACAGATGGCCACTCGAAGAACATCAGTTACAGGTAAGCAACCTGCTTTTCTTTGTCGTGGCCTCTGTGCATCACACATATGGGTAGATTAACAAGCTTACCATAAAAGGAGGAGGGGAGGTGTCCTCAATGAAGAATAGATGAAAGAACGGCTCTGCCAAAGGAGCAATCTTGCTGAGCCCAAACATCTAGATGATAATGTCTGGCGAAAGTGCAAGGGTTCGCCCAAGTAGCAGCTCAGCATACATCATCAATCGGGACCCCCGATGCGAAGGCAGATGAGGTAGCAACAGCCCTAGTCGAATGGCTTCAAGGAGCTGTGGGTAATTCAATCTTAGCCAGTTGATAGGATAAAGTGATAGTATGGACTATCCACTTGGAAAGTCTCTGCGGAGTGACTGGAGCACCTTGATCTCTGGTGGAATATTTATCGAATAGTGTATTTGAGCGTCGAATAGATTCAGTCCTCAATCTGTAGAAGGCTAAGCAGTGCCGAACGTCAAGTGAGTGCAACGATCTTTCTAACAGAGTTGATGGCAACGGAAAAAAGGCAGGTAAGATAATATCCTGTCCCATATGAAAAGATGTGGCCACATTAGGAAAAATAGATGGCTCGAGGTGCAAGACGACCTTTTCTCTGTGAAAATTCAGGTAAGGAGGGTCTATGCAGAGAACGCAGAGCTCACTGGCCCTTCGGGCTGAAGTAACCACAACAAGAAACACTGTCTTCCATGAAACCAGACGTAAATCGACTGTTGCCAATGGTTCGAAAGGAGCTCTCGTAAGCGCTTGCAGAACAACAGAGAGACTCCATGTAGGCATAACTGGCCTGATTAATGGATTAAGATTATGAAGTCCTTTAAGAAACCTCTTAACAGTAGGTTGAGAGAAGATGGTTGATCCGTCAACCAAGCCACGATGGTAGGCTACTGCTGCCGCATACACTTTAACTGAAGATGGTTTCAATCCGGAATGGTGTAGTTCTAATAGGAACTGAAGGATCTGATGTATCGATGATGTAAATGGAGAGAATGAATGAGACTCGGCAAAGGTAGAACATTGTCTCCATTTAGCCACATAGGACTTCCGTGTGGACGGCTTCAAAGCAGAATCAAGGATGTGTTGGATATCTGGATGAAAGGCTGTCGGATTCGACGGATCAATCCTTGAATCCGATGGTACGGAAGGAAGAAATGAAGAGGAAACGCTGAACCCACTGGATTCAACGGCAGGATTTAAACCACTTGAAGTTGTCGTCGATACCGATGGTGCAATGGTAGCTATCGGATTCGCCATGCTGTTAAGTTCAATGACAGTAAATCTGGATGACGAAGCATACCGCCCTGTTGGGTTATGAGGTATGGAAGAAGTGGTAGATGGAGGCATTCCCTGCGAGAGATGTCGAGCAATGTCGCAAACCAAGCTTGGCGTGGCCACCAAGGGGTAATTAGTATCCCCGTGGCCCGATTGTATACTATCTTCGATATCACTCTCATCATAAGAGGGACTGGAGGAAAGGCGTAAAAGTTCAAGTTGTTCCAGGGAATCATGAAGGCATCCCCTAACAATCCATCCCCAATTCCCGCTCTCGAACAGTAAGCACTGCACACCTTGTTCTGTTGGATGGTGAACAAGTCCATGTCAGGGAACCCCCAGCGATGAAAAAGATGGTTGCGTGTCTGAGGATCTAGTTCCCATTCGTGAGAGATGAACATGTGCCTGCTGAGGAGGTCCCCTTGCACACTGTCTGTACCAGCCAGGTGGACTGCCATCAGTATAATGTCTCTCGGAAGGCACCAGTCCCAAATTTTCATAGAAAGTCTGACCAAAGTCGGGGACTTTGTTCCACCTTGTTTGTTCAGATAGAAGACGGTGGCTATGTTGTCCGAAGTTATCTGAATGACCCAATGTTGGAGAACATCCTCAGAAGAACGTAGGGCCTTGAATACTGCCAGCAGCTCCAGGAATTTGATATGATTTGTGGATTCTCGACGATTCCACGTGCCTTGGGTGTATAGGCCAGAGCATATTGCTCCCCATCCCAGAAGAGATGCATCAGTACCGAGGGTTATCGAAGGACATCGGGGCCTGAAGGGAACCCCAACAGTCAGATTGACTGGGACCGACCACCAGAGTGGAGAATGGAGCACCGAGGATGGGATTTGAATCAATTTCGACAGTGGGTCTCTCTGTGGGTGGAACATCTTGTTGAAGAGGAGTTGTAACGGACGGAGTCGAAGTCTGGCGTGTGGCACCACAGCAACCGAGGCAGTCATATGTCCCAGGATCCTCTGGATGGACTTTGCCGGGACCGTCCCATCTTGTCGCATTCGATGGATGCGGTGAGCAAGAGTCTGTTGTCTGTCCCGAGGAAGGAAGGCTTTTCCCAAAGTCGAATCCAGGCGGGCTCCAATGAAGGTAAGCGTCTGTGCCGGAAGAAGAGAAGATTTCTCGGTATTAATGTGTAGGCCCAGATCATCTAACAAGGCACAGGTTGTACGGATGGATGTGAGGAGTCCTCCCCTAGATTGGGACACTAGCAGCCAATCATCAAGATACAGGTAAATTTGTATGCCTTGGAGGCGTAGGATAGCACAGACAGGGGCCATACATTTGGTGAACACTCTCGGAGCAGTGGCCAGTCCAAAAGGTAAAACTGTAAATTTGTAAAAATGGGGTACAACAGCAAAATGAAGGAAACGCCTATAACTTGGGTGGATCGAAATGTGGAAATAGGCATCCTTCAAGTCCAATGAGGTGAACCAATCCTCTTTCCTTAGCAGCGGCAAAATATTTTGAAGGGTGGTCATTCGAAACTTTGTCACAATAAATCGATTCAGATTACACAAGTCCAAAATCGGACGTAGACCACCATCCTGCTTCGGGACCATAAAATATCTGGAGTAGAATCTGTGGAGTCCATCAGATGGGAATACTTGACTAATCACTCCATTACAAAGAAGTTGTTGTATTTCATCGAGCAGTACCGGCGAGCATGATGTAAACCGGATAGGACTTGATGGAGGAACGATGTCGAATTCTATCCGATAGCCGTGCTGTATGATGGACAATACCCACCAATCAGATGTGATGGACTCCCAAATGGGGAGTCGGCTTCGCAGCCGGTCCCCAGATGAGGGGGGTGGGTATGGAAGGGATCAGAGGAATGGTTCGCCAGTCCTGTCAACGCTGTCTCCTATCATCAGAACGGTGACGGCCCTGCTGATAGCATTGCTGAGGCTGCGGACAGCAGCGCTGCTGTTGCTGCTGCCGGTGCTGGGGCTGCTGTCTAGGCTGGTAGGACTGCCTATAAGATGGACGAGTCCATGAGCACTTACGCCTGGTCTGGGTCTGTTGCTCCATCCTGCGTGCTGTCATGCGGGATTCATGTAGTTTCTTTAACTTGTGGTCGGTGCGTGAGTGGAAAAGCCCAGACCCATCAAAGGGCATTTCCACAATCCGACGTTTAGTCTCCTCCAGGAAGTTATAATTTCTTAGTCAGGCGTGTCTCTGGAGTGAAACGGCACCGACCAAGGCCCTCGAGTCTGTGTCCACATGGTACCTGGCTGAGGACAACTGCTGGACAGCAACCTGCATCGCCTCCTTGATGAGGACCTTGGCCAGGTCGCCCTGGTGGTCCAGGAGGGTCGAGGTGACGTCGTGGAGGCATTGCATTATGAAATATTGATACCTCGCCAACATCGCCTTAGTTGGAGATACGCAGCCCCAGGCCTGAGGCAGTGTAGACTCGCCTGGCCAGGGAATCGATCTTTCGTCCCTCCTTATCCCTTGGCGCAGTGTGACCTCTCGCCTCTCTGCCCTGGGAGGACTCCACCATGACCGAGTTCGGCTTGGGGTGGCAGAGGAGGAAGGGAATGTCCTCCTCCCGAACCCGGTACATGGATTCGTACCTCCGAGACGTGGGTTGAGGGTGAGAGGGCAAGTCCCAAGGCTGCGTCATCGCCTGTCGTAAGGTGGTGATCAGCGGCAGGTTGATCGATGTGGACTGTTCCCCGTGGACGACGTCATAAAACTTGTCCCGGTAGGTCCCAGACGCTGGACGGCGTCAATGCTGAGGGACTGGACAAGCTGGGACATCAGCTCCGCGAAGGAGACGTGCGATTCATCCGGTGACGCAGGGCCCTGGGAGGTCACAGCGATGTCAGGGGAGGATGAATCGACCTCCGAATCGTCAGAGTCAGCACCATAATACGGGGGAGCTGGTGATGAGGACTCCGCCAGAGAGAAGGACCGGCTACTTCCATCCCGAGGAGGTATCGGGGATGCACGCCTCAGGCCCGAGGACTGTGGTTGGTCGTGGGAAGGTGGCGAAAACCGACCCCTAAGAGCCCCAGGTCTGATAGTATGAGCGATGCCATCCCTCAGAGCGCTGCTCCATGAAGCGACTCCTCCGGCTCCTAGGCGGGGACATCTCTACATCCACCTCCAGAGTGGCTGTGGGCATAGGTGTGGGCGACCTAGCCCTAGGGGGGGAAATCCTGAATTTCCCCATCAGAAATTGAGCCTCATTGTAGAGTTGGAAGCAGCCCAGCAGGAAGGTCAGCCACACAGCGAGGGGACCCTTAAGGGGTAACCCTCATAGCCACCTGAAGCACCGGGTCGGGTGGAGTCGGTACGGTAAGTGCCACCGGTACCGAGAGGGCCGTCGAATCCGAGTCTCGGTGTCGAGGACGCTCTGGATCCTTCGATTTTTTTGGAGATTTAGGAGCCTTCTCCTTTCTGGCCTTCTTGTGGCCTGCCGATTTGTCGGGATCAGCATGCTTGCGCTTCTTGTGCTTTTTCTTGGGAGAAGCAGGTGGAACCACCATGGCAGATGCGCCTTCATCCGAAGGGCATGAGGGTGGAGCCACTGAAGCAGAGCCAGACTTCGGAGCAGCAACGAGCGGGTTGGACTGCATGAGAGCCCGGTCCCACAAGAGCCTCCGCAGGCAATTCTCACAGTTTTTCCTGGCCTGTTTAGAGAAAGCCAGGCAATGAGAGCATTTATCAGTCCTATGCCCCTCCCCCAAGCAGAGGAGGCATAGGTCATGCAGGTCAGTCGGAGACATTTTAGACCCGCACTTCACGCATTTGCGGAAAGCTGCTCGCTGCGCCATTGCAAGAAAGAGAAAAAAGGAGATAGTACAGAGGGTAAGTATATATTTTTGTTTTGTTTCGTTTTGTTTTTGATAGAAGATCGAAGAGAAGGTAGAACGATAGAGAACTACAAGAACTAGAAGAAATACTGGGGCTATAACAACTGGGAGAGAACAATCAAAAAGAAGAACAAGCTAGACGAGCAACGGTCAGAGCGAGAGCAAAAGCGGCACGAGGCACAGCAAATGGCGCTCGCAAAGACTGAACAAAATGGCGGACGCTCCGCTCTTTACAGGCTATGGGGGAGGGGGAGCGGAGCTTTCCCACCAAAAACCGTTAGCTTGCAATCTTCCAGCCAAAGGCACTGTGCAGGCGCAGCACTCATATGTGTGATGCACAGAGGCCATGACGAAGAACCTCTCTTACCCGCAAAAGAATCCTTGTGGGTGGAGGAACTTGTCTTAGAAGGCCAATGCTGCAGGGTATTTGCCCTCCAAACCAAATTCCCTCACACCACCTCATAAATTAACAAGGAATGTCTACAGACAGACACACCACTTTACTAATACAAGCAGCAATACATTTGAAGAGGTAAATAGGTGGAAAAGAGAACCAGGTCACAGTCCTATGCAACTTTAAACAGGAAAAAAGCCTACTACTCCCAGCATGCCCCAGCCAGAAAAACTAGTTTTGTCATATTGAGGTCTTTCTTACTGTCTAAACTTACACAGGGATCACACCTTTAATGGTCTAGCAACAACTTAGGCCATATTGCAAAAAGCATAGATTTCAGAAAAAATGGAAAGCACTCAAAACAAATATTAAAGTTAAAGGACAGGAGCACAGAAAACTAGCTGCATTACTAATTCTTAGATAAAATAGAAGCATTCCATGAACAAAACTTATTGAGTTTAATTGAATAAACTTCTATTGCTTTGGAATCTACTATTTAAAGCCATTCCTATATTAGGTTTTCACAAGGCATCTAAAATCCTTTGATGTTCATCATTCAATTCTAAAGACAAAAAGCAATTGCTTTCACTGACAGTTATGAAGAATGAGCTAATGCCAGATGAAAGTAACCAACCCTACCACATTTGGCTTTGCCAGTGTGGGCTGAAAATTCCAAGGCATTAGAAGGTATACTGCTCTTACCTCTTGTCCTGTTGCCACATCTATGGCAATGAAGACTGTACCTGAAGCCCTATGAAAAGGAAATATGTAATTAAGTGTAACATTTCAGATATCTAACATGCAGGGACATGAACGGCAAACACTGAACAATCTTTTCTAGATGATTTCAATGTACTTTTTCTAGAAAAAAAACCACTAAATTATAGGTTTAAAGGCAGTACAATCAGTGTATCTATAAAACATTCTGCTCTTTCACAAAGCTTTTCACAGACTCATCTGGGCATAATATTAGCCTGAAAAGAGGGTGTTCAAAACAAAGCTATTCTCTACTCCCCTAATCTAGAAACATGACAGGAGTGGCAGGGTACACATTCAGTTTAAAGTCAGGAAAGAAATAATAAACTGCTGGAAATTTTCGCTCAGGATTTCCTATCTCAAGAACATATACCATTATTTTGGGATTTCCACATCTCTTGGAGGTCTGCATTTGGTTACTATTGCTCACACCAATATATTGCTAATATTTCTGGGTTGTCAGCTGTGAACATTTTATTGTATTTATACTCCACCCTTTTTCCTTTCAAGGAACTCAAGGTGGCTTACTTACACAGTTCTCCTTCTCTTTTCAATCTTATCACAACAACAACCCTGTAAGGTAGATTGAGCTGAGAGACTGTGATTGGCCCAAAGTCAGCCAGTTAGCACCATGGCTGAGTGGGGACTGGAACCCAGTTCGCCTTAGTCCCAGTCCCACACTCTGAACCACTACACCAAACTGCACATGATACCAAAGAAAATAAAATAGTATTTCAACAAATTCATTTCATAGTCAGTATATATGGGAATATTTATAAATACTCACCCCTGCCCTATTTTTTCATATCTGGTATATTTTTTCTTCGGATCTCCTATACTCACAATCGTTCCTAAAAAGAAGATTCCATACAAAGTACTGTAAGGCAACTAAGATGCACTACTGACATTAATTGGAAACTAGCACATAAGAATTTCAACCAATGCAAAAAGAAATACTGGCTTGGATCCTATGCTGCTCCTCTGGTTATACAGGGTGAGGTGAGGCAACTTGTTTCAACTCCCTCCTCTATCTGCCACCTCTACAAATTTCCTAGACCAGTGCAGTCCAACTTTTCATACCTCGAGAGCTGCATAAGGACTTTGACATGGAACCCAGGGGCAATGCAATGAATTACATTTCCATATCATAAAGTAATGCAATTAATATATTTAACCATTAAGCAAGGAAGAATTAATTCTAAGGTGTTTTAGGACTAATTGGATGATAAATGCTTTGTGGGCAGCAGAGATCACAGGCAGCTCCTTCTCCAACCAGAGCCCAAGCACAATGACCATTCCCCTGTGGTGGGCCATCCTTTTCTTCTGTTTCTCACAGCCAGGGCAAATCAAACCTCTTCACACAGGTTATTAACAAGTTAAACAGGTGAAGATTACTTTTATTGTGACTATCTCAGGCACACGATAAAAGATATTTTGGGAAGTAAAACCAGTTCCTCTCAATCAACAGCCATTTTTTATTACCTCCTAAAATATTTTCATACTTTCCCTCTATTACATTCATGGGGAGAGCTATACCTGCATAAAGTCTATTTATGCAAAATTACTTGCTTCCAGTGAAAAGTAGTATAGTTAACAGTAAGCACAGCAGATGCTTTTTGCTGCAGCATGTCTCCAACTCCTAAATTGCTACTTTATAAAACCAACACTTGCACCAGCTTTCCCCAACATAGTGCCCTCAAGATGTTTGGGACTACAACTCCTAGAATTCCTGACCATTGGTCATGTTGGCTGCTATTAATGGAAATGAAGTCCAAACAATCTCAAGAGCATCAGTTTGGGGAAGGCTGGCCTATACAGGAGAATGATGTCAAATTGCTGTAGAGAGATCATAATCCATAGGAATGCCTAAAAAGTATCATAAGGGTCAACTGTTGATTCAGCATTAGAAGACTTCATACACATGACTTTGAATTAATTATATCAGTACCCCATCTTAGTGAAGAGTTAATTAAGCATTCCAACTTACGTAGCCTTTCCATTATCTCTTCATCTGACATCTTAGTCTTCTTTTTCTGCTTATCAGCTGATTTAGCAACACTATCACTTGAATCACCAGGGGGAGCTGGGATAGGATCTATTACTGACCGTGTATAAATCTGTAAGAAGGTAAGTTCATAATTATAATCACATGCTATATCTATACCTAATTTTTCAGGTTCAAACTGCTACAAATACTAATGATCTTGAAGGAAGATGTATGACTATCATTTTAGGCCAGAGGGCAGAACCTGCGTCTCAATCCAGCTAGCCATGGGCCCTTCCCCTGGTTCCATTCCCTTTCCTTCAAACATACACTATTTTCTGATTTCCCAGCTTTTGCAGTTTCTTCTGCATTCTAAAGTCCTCCCACAAGGCTTACTGATATAAAGAATTGTAAGCTAATATGCTATTTTGGACCATGTCCCTTTTGCTTTTGGCCCTGACCACTCCTGGAATATGCCCACCCAGAACTTTTCCAAAATAGCATTTGACCCTCAAGTTGAAAGAAATTCAATTTTAACCAATATCGCTGCAGGTCTACTGGATTCTATTGATTAATACTGAATTTCATGTGGTTTGCAAAAGTTAGGAAGCTCAATTTTAAAACTGACCTATTTTCTCCAGTTATGTATCATGAAAACCCTGCTTAGAACTGAGATTCCAAGTACAAATGTTAAAGAGACTTCCTATCTGATTTTAAGAAGTACAACCATTTTATCCCTGCATCCTTCACAAAGAAACAATCGCTAAAGTGATTAAAAAGTGATTGACTTAGTGCTCAAATAATACCATAAAAAAATTAAATACAATCACTCTCTCTTAATAGCAAATTCTGGTAGAGGTAATGAAGTGGGGCCGCAAGGGGATTCTGCGAAACAAGAGAGAGGGAGGCATTGGCCTGCACAATGAAACAAGTTTTATATAGGCTTAAACACATATAAAATGTCTTGGAGGGCGTATGTGGCTTGAACTACACACATGCTCGTTCAGAAGATGCATGCACTGCAATGTTTTGTTGCAAATCTCATACATCTACTGCTATTTCATACATATATAGTTACCCTGCTACAAGTGCGTAAAGAAGTTCACATGCAGTAGGTAGATCAGTACTATTCCTACACTACAGATTGGGTGAAGGCTAGGAACTCATCTAAGGTTACCAAGGGAGTTCTAGCTAAAGTGCGGTTGAAAGTGGAAACTTACAGTCTTTAACCCATTATGCTGAATTTAGCCTGCATAAAGTGATACTGCACACATCCATAAAGCAAAATTACTCAGTAAAACTGCTCACAGATTTTGTATGATCTGGCCGTGGGGCAATAACCGGAGGAGTCACTTCATCGTCATCTTCCTCTTCAGCAGGTACAGAAGGTTCTGATCCTTTTGCATTGGGCTGTTTGTTGTTTAAAACAAAAGAATAAAGTAAGTGGAACATTTAAGAAGTTCACTATTAAATGCATGCCAGAATGTTAGAGCTGTATAGAATAAGAGACTGCAGGATATTATATATCATTCACATTCTGAAAGCCTTATACTGACATCCGAAATGCTTGTAGTGGCCTTGCCCACATTTGCATTTCCAGTAACAGATTTCATTTTTGCCTACAGCCTATAGTGCAAATGCTCCAACACTGCACACATCCAACCCATGCAATCTATGTACCATAAAATCAACAAGTGTGCAATCTGGACCTAGGTATGTTGAGCTCTGTGTATGCAGACCCCTACAAAGCTCTGAAACCTAAAACCTGAGTGCCATTTGAAGTAAGTATAAGGCTATCAAAGGCCAGTAACCAGAGGGCAAGTGCCCCTGAACCTAAGTTGCTAAGAAACATGAGAAGGATGCTGGTGTGCTCATGTCCTGCCTTTACATTTACTATTGGTATCTGGCTGGCCAAAGAGGAAACAGAATTCGAAGTTAAATAGGCTTTTAACTTCGAGTTTTTAGAGTCCTGATCTAAGAGGACTCTAAGTTCTTGAGAATCAAGAAAGCTGCTCTATCCTCCTCTGGCTTGTTTGCCCCTCCACCCCAAAGTAGACACAAAGTAGACACACCACCACAGTACTTCTTATGTTCTTATAGATGTACCATAGGAGTGGGATAAGATGGCACAAATTTCATTCCACCTCATGTATATTTTAAACATCTGCAACAAAGTTTTTCTCCTCTGTTTATTGTGAAAAACTAAGTTCTGTGGTCCACCAATTTACAATTATATATGTAAATCTAGCTTCTCTGTAGTTTTAGTAAATATATTACCTATAACAAAATCAGGTTCACAAATATTAGTTTGCCTTATTGTAGCCAATACTTGTGATTGCTCCTTCCCTTTTCTGAATATGGCATGTGCAGAGACCTCAGGGAAGGGAGGGATGTTTATCTCAATGCTGTGTTTTTGCAGAAAGTGCAAGCAGCCACCCAGTGCAAAAGAGAATGGCACGAAACCACATCCCTTCCTCCCAACAAGTTCTCTACTTCCATTGGGTTTTCACAGGAGGCAGCAATGGCAAAGCATTCCTGGCACTTCCTACAAATGCCTGACTCACTTAAGAGGTCACCTCTCCTTTCCACCAAGAATGAGGAAGGAAAGGTAGTGTCCCTCCCAAAAAGATGGATTTTGCTGAAGATGCATGGAAGGAGAGATAATTCTTGTCACTAGCAAGTAGGAGAGTAAATTTACTGAATCTTAATTCTGATATAACAGCAACCTCTGATTATCACACAAGCAGTGGCACCACAAATGCTCACAGTGAGATCCTAAATAACCCCACTGACTAAAAAACTTAACAAAATCAGTTGAAGTATATTTCCAGTGACTGGGATCTTTAAGCAGACAACATTTGAAAGCAGAGTTTGAAAACTACTTTAGCTCAGCAGAACTGGACTATGTCAAAAACTGCTAAAGTATTTTGAGCACACTGAGAGATGCAGAGAATATCATACAATAAGCATACTTACTGCTGGTGCTCCTGAAGGGAAACCATCCTTTTCTAAAAGAGATTTGAAAACTATTTAATATAAAGATTAATTCCAAAAGGTTTTGAAGTATCTTTATTAATACAGGAATGACAACAAACGTTTGGAGTCAAACATCTTGGTCAAAACATACAGCTCTACTCTTTCAAGACCATAAGACCATTTTCCAAAACTCCAGGTAGCTCAGATGCATAGGTTCTGGCTACATCAATTAACATTGTGTACAAAACTGAATGTTGAATTATCTTAATTAGCAATTATCAACCATAAGCTTCTAAATGCAAAATTTTCCAGTTTTGCCCTCAAGACATCTTTTAGCACAGCTTTTCCTCAGGATACAAGTTAGTTTCCATTCAGTCTCTGAACTTTACTACTCCTTGTTATATCTAGTCTGGGAGCAATGCAAACCCTTCCACCCCTTTGCCAACCAAATTCTAACTATCATTAGCATCTTAAACAGGATTCTTTGAAACCTTATGTTCCAGACCCTATTTCTCACAAGCACACTACCTTAAAAAGTTTCACCTAACATTTGTTCCCTCATTTAGAGACTACTTATTTAATCCTGACCAAAGAGTTGGAGGTTACCGCTGAATTTGAACTAAACATACTAAAGCCACACCTGTAGCAGAGAAGCTCAAATATTTCTGTCTCGCCGTGTCTTTAGAATCATAAAACTTCAATACATCTAGAACAGCCTGGGGGTTCTTCTTCTGTTCTAGCTTGGTAATATTTGAGGTCTGTAGCAGCCGAGCCCATTGCTCTGGCATTCCCTGAAAACAGAAGGCAAAATTAATGTATTTCACATCTGAAATATAAGTCTTTGATCATATGAACTTTGTATAATCCCTGTTCCAAGTTCTGACAGGTAGTACAATGCAAGACATCGGCATAACTCTAGTGGTATTGTCTGCACCAGCCACCCTCTTCTGCCATTTTACAACAGCTATATTCACATAGAATATGAAGTCAGGATTTGGGGGGATGCTAGTGTACCATGAGCAAGCTACATGATGGTACCTGTGGCACATTCACTCCACTTCGTTCCTCTTGCTAACACAAGGAGCTAAAGCCAAAAATAGTTTGTTTCCTATGTCACCCAAACCAGGAATCCTATCTTCTTGTTTCCAAATATGTCAGGATTTGAAAACCAAGAACAAGCCCTGATTTACCATCCTGGCATTTGAAGGATGCAACATAGTGAGACCCCTGGTTTGGATGACATCCAAACAAGCTATTTCTGGATTGGTTCACCATGCCCTCTAGCTGAAGGAGCCAAGCAGAAGCAACCAACAGGCTGCACTTATCAGTATGCTGCTCATTCACATAAGTCAGGTCAAAGTGAGAGCAAACAGAGTATGCTCACCAGCACGCAGCTCATTCATGGTAAGCCACTTTTTGCAGGATCCTGACTTACCATTCTGCATGAATGTTGATAAAGTTGGGATAGCAGGGGAGGTAACCATTAAAGGAACTTTTTGGTGATGAAACTCATGAAAATCTCCCATGAATATTTTTAAGGAATTCTTAAGGACATTAAGATATTCTCTTTCATACCAACAGCAATCCAGTTCATACTGAAAAGAGTCCAGCTTGGTATACTTACAGTGAATTCCCCAGTAACAGCATCAAAGCCAACATGAATGGTATGTTCAAAGTCTGATGGAGGAGAGATTTCGGGCCTTTCTTTTTCCTTTTTCCTACTCCCTACAAGAAAAACAAAATATTCAGCCAAGGAGGAACAAGCTATTTAGCACCATTTAAATGTAGCTCCCCATATTTAAAAGCAAGTATACATAGTTGTATACAAGTCTCATAGGTGTTGTAACCAGGATGCCTTGAACCAAGCAAGTACTGAGTTTAGCTAAGAAGGAAGCTAACTATTTTGATACCCTCTGTGAATGAGTCAGTAAGGCCTAAGCATTTTATATAACTAGTAAAGCTTGCATTCAAACAAGGAGATACACAGATTACTGATTGCCACTGCAAGTTCTCACAAAGCTCATTCATATGAATGAAAAATATCACAAAATTCCCATAGCTCAAACGCGCCATTTCACATGGAGGGCAGCAGTTAAGTGCAAGAGCATGTGTATTACATGCAAAAGGTCCAAGGGTTCAATCCATGGCATTTGATCTGATTACGGATGATAGGAAAGATAACTGCCTGAGATCTGGAGAGCTTCTGCCCCTCAGAGTAGACAGTAGTGCAAAGATGATCAAATAGTCTGAGCTGTTCTAAGGCTGCTTCTTTTGCTTGCTCTGGATTACGAAGTAAATGGTAACTCCCAAGTACTGACTAGTCATGGTAAACTTTTTTCAGTAATCAATTTGTCTTACTTTCATGTATCTAGAATATGGGAAAGCAGTGATTTAGACACTATCACAAGTCAGTGAAGCATCTTTTTTGTTTGAATGTGCTTCTATAACACTGCCCTTATTTAAAACCATATGTAATTATTTTTAAAGACACAGCTATGAGATTCTTAAAAGGAATGTCAGCTTTGTTACTTAATGTAGCCTTCCCAAATCTAGTGCCCTCCAAATGCTTTGGATGAGAAATGCCACTACCCCTGTCCATAGCCTATGCTAGTTGGTGAGGGCAAGAGTCCAAAACCTATACACAATACCAGATTAGGGAAGACTATTATAATTAATAAGAAATCAGGCACAAGATCCCATAGGTTCTAATAGCTATGATAATTTTAAAAAGAGCATTATACCAAAACACACCCACTGATTCAGACTGGTATTACAGAATCTGAGACAGTGCAATTATGTCACACAGGTAACTTATTTTCATACATAGTAAGACAGAACAGGGTAGAATAAATTCATGCAAAGAAAGTGAATGACTGCAAACTTATGGAGGGGCAGATTTCAGGATAAAATTCATCCATATGCAATTTCTCTTAACATGCAAGTTCACTTATTAATTGAAGAATTACTGTTAGATAACATGTTTACACACAATAGTTCTGCATGTACGTGCACTGTTGTACTTCTTCCAAGAGGGTTCCCAATCTCTGAGGCAGCGCAATAACAAAAACATATAACTGACAAGACCTCATGCATGTGGAAAATGCTCTGGATTCTGGCAAATTTCAAGCATTCTTCCACTGCATAAGAAATGAACATTTCTCAAGAAAACTAGTTCTTGTAGCAACATAATGCTTTAAGAATACAAACTCAAAGATTAATTCCTCTCCTTCCAGTAACATGCATTTCTTAAAATGAGACTGTTCCAGTCTCCAATTTCTCCACAATTCAGAAAAATACCTTGAACAATGTAGACTATGATAGTATTGGTCAACCAAATGATGTAGACAGTTAATCACTTATGGACAAGCACATGAGCTTTATTAAGTCGGCCAGCACAAGGCCATTATTTTGAATCTCTGACTACACTCGCACTGCAGTTCCATATTCAATACAAGTTTCTTGTTCATGTCTCTGTTTTGAACAAAATATTTGCCATCAATTGTATGTTACCAGAGCAAACCAGATTGCAGAATATTCTGTTTAGAGTCTTACAGGACAAAAAAACCCAGTCTACACATGCTATCAATATTAAAGTATATAAGAACAAATGGACAAAGATCCCATCAGCTTTGTTTGAAACAGCCCATAATTTTTTATTTTTATTTTTTTTAAGAAAACACAACTTCTTATATCTTGTGCAAGCAAACCCTTAGTGCCACCATTATGCAGAATAACTGTTCACTGACTAAGAGGAGGGGGCCACTGAAGACGGAGGTGTTTGTTTTTATTTATTTTAAATACACATGCTCAAGTCCTTATGTAATAGACTACAGATGGTTTGTAAAGAATTACTGTCATGTTTCAAGGCAAAAAGTATAGGGAAATAGGTATACCATCTGTCTCTTGTTGTCTGAATTCCAAATTTGATGGTGGCCATTTGATACTAGTTTGTACATGTTATTTTACACAAATACAATGTTACATAAGCAAGTATATTTGTAGCCTGTATTTGTCACCTCATATTTAAGATAACAATTAGCAGACTTCTAAAGAGTATGATTAAGCATATACAAAAAATTAAGATGTAAATATTTCCATTTTCCTCTGGTCATTTTATCCAAACAGTCATCTAATTTTCTCAAATCCCATTGTCTATTCATATCCTCCAACTCTAAAACAACAAAGTACCTATGCACTGAAATTTACAAATTTTGGTAACTGTCATTAAGCTACATTTTTGCTTTTTTAGGGAGGACACAGATCAGTAGTAAGGCACATGCCTTGCAGGTGCTCTAACTTTAACATCCAGCATCTCTAGTACTGGGACCTCAGGTAACAGTGATAACAACTTCTGCTACAGACTCTGGACAGCAGGTGTAAATCACAGTTGGCAATACAGAGCAAGGCAGATTCAAGAATGATTCACATAAACAACTTGTCTATTATGTATGAATGCAGGAAGAAGAGACGGCTTCTCTCCCTTTTCTCTCAGAGAAAGGAAAAAGATCCTCAGCTCTGAAGGCTCCATAGAAGATGTTCTCTTTTCCTCCCATTCCCCAGGAGGTGGAGAGAAGCAGAGAAGAGAAACAATCCCAACATCCTGCTTGCACAATAGATCTATATTATTATAGGATTCCATTTGAGAGTATACCATTTTGTCTTACTGGAATGACCCTCTTTCAGTCACTTTCTATCTATTAAGGGGACAAGGACAGCAACAAAACTCTGCTGCATGTGTTTGGCCTAGTAATTCTGTCCCTAAGACAGGGAGAGACAGACAGGAAAGGAGCACAAATCAAATGAGTACCATAGCATTCACCCTGCTGAGTAAATAAAGCAAAGATGGTTGTTTGTCTCTTGCTGTCCTAGTTCTTATACTACGACAGAAACAGAAACCCAGACAAGAACTCAGTCAGTGTCATCATTTTTACTGTATAGGCAGAAGTTCTTTCACCCTCTTAATTTGGAAGGGAACAAAGAACCAGTAACTTGGAGGCAAGACAACACTATACTAATGACAGCTCTTCCTCTTAGCTATTCCCATCTTCCAGGCATTTAAAGAAAAGAATTCAGGAGGCTGTAACAACAGATCTCTCCTAATGTTCTGGGAGCAGAGAGGGAATACTGGTGGGTGGGCTTAGGCTAATGAACCAGGATGTGAAGGACCTCCCACTGACAGTTTATTTACAAAGTTAAAGTAACCTATTTTAGAGTTCATAACTTCCTGTTTTCACAGTAACATTTAGCTTGAAAGTAGTGAGATTTTATAAATTTGTGGACAGAGAGAGATCCTTTGAATAAGTGCAAGAACAGAAATGAGATTCAAGATGTATGTGTTTGTAGCTTCACTGTGCCATATACAGGCTTCTCACAGGCAACAGGAAGCATGTCTTGAACCTTCTCAAAGTAACATCTTACCTTTCTCAGTACCAGAGAAGATGGAGATGATTTTGTTCCTAGGCTTTTTCTCTTCTGGCACAGATGGCAGAGGTTTCAAGCTATGATTAGCAGATAATGGATCTTTGCCTCCTGAACTGAAGATAGTACTGCTCATTCGAACAGGTGGAGCTGGTGGCTTATCTTCGAGTTCTCCGTTGTCAGACATGATATTTAATGACTAGAAAACACACTGAAATTGAACAGAGAAAACTTTTGTCAGTAGAGCTACAAAAGCACAATATACCTTATTTATTCTTTTTTCATATTCATTAGCATTTCTTCTGGGGAAAGAGATTTTAAATCAGCACTTGGTTGGGAAACATTCTCTTTCCCAAGTGTTGGCACATGTGATGTAATTTTTTTTACAATACAGAAAATTCTTACTGTATAATTTTATACATATAATCATCCAATTCTTTTGTTCATTCTAAAACAAAAAGCAAAGACAACACTCTTACAAAGTCATGTGGGGAAAACAGAATTGAAGACTATGAAATGGTATGCAATCTAGTGTATTTTTATTTCCTTGCTAACATTTTTCAGTGCTTTGTTTTGGGTAGTGATAACCCAAGCCCTCCAAAAAGGACAAACTATAATTCAGTGTGGAGTCCTTCTTAAGTCTTCCTGCTTCTTTGTTTTTAAAACAATCAACTTTGCTAAATCAACATCTGAGGAAATGAAAAAAATATTTATTGTTTGTCCGTTACAAACCATCTCACATGAAGGTGATTATATAAAATTGAAAACTGCTTCTTTGTTTCAAATACAGGTACTCCCTCAGTTACTTGAGGGCTCAAACAAGTCAATTAATATCATGCAGTCAAAAATGAGTCTATGAGTTCAAATGATTGTATAAAATTTGCTGCAGCAGCAAGCAACCTAGCTCCAGACCGCTCAACTCCTCCTGCTTTGCTGAACAATCCATAAATGGTTCCTGGGTTATTCACTATGATGTCTGAACTCAGAACTTTGAATTGCTGTGGGAGAAACAACCCACAGTTAAATGCTGGGTTGCTTCTCCTTCAACAACACAAACATCCAGGATCATGGAAAGTATCTCAAGAACTGGTGTTCCTGGGATGTTTAATAAAGCAGAAGCAGGCAAGAAAAAGCAAGCAAGTTCACTCATGCTTACAAGCAACTCATGGCTAACAAAGATTGTATAATCATGAAAGTCCAGTCTTGGTGTCTCCTGGCAAGCCTACTCAGCACCCCCCCCCACTCATTCTTCCATTCTATTCCACCATAGCATTCCTTCTCCCTTGACCTTGGGAGCTGTGAAGCCATTTTCCAAGCCTCCTCTCAGAATTGTCCTGTCTCCACCACCACCTTTTTAACTCTAATTTCTCACCAGGTCTTCCTTTTGGACCTTCACAGGTCACAGCCTATTCTGATCCCTTCCTTCACAACCTCCTTCTTCTGACCATCTTGCTCTTTAGCTTCCCTATCTCCCAGGACCTCTTCCCAGACACTAGACTGCCCTAATGTAAGGTTTTAATTCCATTCTATTTTTTCATCTTCCACAGAAACTGGTCAGGTTCTCTGTCCAATCAATTAAGCAATCCATACCCCCACCCCATTCCACAGACTGTACTGTCACAAATATACAAGAATTTGCTTATCTGCTGTCCACTAGGCCAGCATTTACTTTAGCATCTAGGTCAGGGCTAACAGCAGTTACAGCATAATCCTATGCATGTCTACACAAAATCAGGATTCCCCACCACCACCAGTTCAGGTAGGTATACAAAGGCTTGTATTCTTAAGTCTTTTTATATGTTAATATAAAGTATATATTATTTGTACATGAGCAGCCTGTTCCACCAAGTCAAGAACCTTTTAGCAAGTCTATTGCCTCCCCATCTCTCCCTAGCCTGTAGAAAGCAAGATCAAAGGTTACTTGATATGAAGTTCACAGGTACTTAAAAGGCATTTGGCTTAAAGCAGGAAAGGTGTTCCTTTGTAAACATTGTTAAGGGTTTACTACATAATAACTGCAGGCCTAGTTTGTTTTTAAGCAAACTAATTGACTGTTTTTAGCAAAGAAATTACAGACAACTAAAGCTTCAGTGATTTTAATTTGACCCAACCTGCAGCTACTCTGTGTAATGCTAAGTACCCTCAAAACCCTCAAGCAAGTCCTGCTGCCCAGGTTCACACAACACAACAGCTCCCATCACTAAAGCAAGCCACAAAGGGATGTCATGTCATGCAAATCACTATATATACTTTCAAAAACCACAGGATGAACACTTTGAGGGGTTATGGTATGCACCATCAAAGATTGATTTGCCCAGATCAATTTGCACTGCACTTTGAACAGGAACACATAGCTATACTAATGTAAACTTCCAACATGCATCAGAAATAGCCAACTTCATCAGTATGGAGAGGGTCGTTTCCCTACAACAAAGCTGCTTGGAAGCCAGACCTTCCCACACAATGCAGCTGTTTCCAGGCACCACACAAAGAAACCTGAAAGACCTTCCCAGGGCAAATGAGATGTTACCCCTGACACTGACAGCAGCTTTTAGACATCCTTTTCACATTGGGCTGGAAAAGGCACCAGCCAACCTGAATAGACACCAGCACTGCTTTAAGACTTATCAGAGCCACTTTCCAAAGCAAGATGCTCCTTGGAGAGTAGAATCAGCCTTGGCAAAGGCAGACATGCTTCCTAGTTGTAGGTCCCTCCCAATGCTATATGAGAAATCAGCAGGACACAAACAGAACCAAGGTCAAATTCACACTCAGAGACAATGCATCAGAGCATTTGCAGGATCAGTTGTGGCACAGCCTACACTAGGAAAAACCCATTTTCTGTCTCTTCTCAAGAAAGAAGGGATTTTACAAAAAGCACAGGTATTCTGCAGTGCTTAATCCATGCAGGAGTTCACTTATTCCAGGAAAGGTAACCTAGACCTTCAAGCAAACTTTAAGAAATCAGTCTAAATCAAACTAGCCAGATGCTATCTATATGCTGCTAGCTGACCATCCCCCAAATGTGCACTGAATTTAAAAATGCCTTGGATTCAGATTCAAAGTGAAGATTTGTTTTTCACTCTCAAAAACTTTGTCCAAAATAGCTTACACAATTAACGCCTGCTCAAAGCAGCTTACACAATTAAATTCAAATAAAAAAGCACAAAAGTAAGCCAATGGAAAAGTTCCAGTGGATTAATCAGTCAAACCGAAGCACAATAGAAAAGATACATACTACACAACTTTTCCTAAAGATCGATAAGGAAGGAAACTATGATCCCCTGAAGGGAATTCATTCCAAAGCACTCAGGCAACTGATTAAAAGGCCCTGCATCTAACTGCAATAGTTCTCACTTCACGCTCATAGTAAGTATGAAACAGGGCCTGTTTGGATAACCAGAGCTCGCATGCAGCTGATGCAAGAAGAAGCAGTCTCCAAGACATGTGGCAGAATACCAGTTCCTCGAACTGAGCTCAGAAGCATACCAACAGCCCATGTAACTGATGTAGTAGTCTATGTCTATGCTTTCCAACAGCCATTAGAAGATGCAAGCTGCAGTGTTCTAGTCTACACTATTGTAGCTTCTGAGCCATTCTTATATTACAGCAGTCAAGTCCTGAGGTTGCAAAAATCTAGGTAAATATTGCAAGATTTTCCCTACCCTATCCAAGAAATGGAGTTGATAACTCCTTGCTATCAGACCTTTACTTCTGAAAAAGCAGGGCAGAATAAGACTCCTAGACTTGAAACATTCTCTGCTGAATACATTGTTACCCTATTAATTACAGGCAAGCCTTCCTCATCAAGACTACAAGGAAATTCAACAACCATTAATTCCAATGTTCAGGATTCACCTCCTATCTATCCATTACGTATACTGCAACTGATTACAGCTTCCATACATCAATTCAGGATAGTGATTGCATGCATCCAGTACACATGAGTAAAATTTAAAGCTAATTTTTGTAAGTTACTCACAGGAATCCTCTCATCTATCAACAACAAAAAACATAACCCAATATAAGAAAAGAAAGCTACACACATACCAGGTACTCAACATGAATTTCTGAATCAACTACATGCATGCAGTGTAATACCAAAGCACAGTTAGCAATAACAAATGAAGGTAGAAAGGATTTGCACAGAAGAAAAGGAGTTTACCGTAGATTCTAAAAGCGAACATCATTCTAACCTCATGTCTCCACTCTCATTTCATCCTTGGGAGATCCAAGCAAAGCGTGTGGTGTAGTGGTTAAGAGCATGGGACTGGGACTCAGACGATCTGGGTTCTAGTCCCCGCTCAGCCATGGAGCCAACTGGATAACTTTGGGCCAGTCACAGACTCTCACCCCAACCTACCTCACAGGGTTGTTGTGGTGGGGATAAGATGGAGGAGGAGAATGATGTAAGCTGCCTTGAGCCCTTTGTAGGAAAAAGGCAGGATATAAATCGAAAAATAAATAAATAAATAAATAAATAAATAAAAATGGCCTACTCTGGACAAGGTTGTCAGGCACTCATGTTGAACCTAGACAGACTGTATCTTCAACTTAGCTAAATAAAAGGAAATCTGCAGTGACTTAATTAGGCCGAAAAATATAATAGGGTATTTCCAGCAACATTCATTCCTTGGAAATTTGATGAAGGTATACACTGACTGATTGGAAAAGCAAAACAACCTGCATCCACTTACGGGTGATTCTCATCTAACTTTTTATTGGCACACATACCAAGTACAATACAGAGAGGAACCTGTCAAGTATGAAAAGTAGATGCATGCATTTTCAACATGTTCCATTTTAAAATACAAGAAAGTGTGAATACTCAAGTGCATGAAATAGAAATACGTTCTAAGATTCTAAAAGAAAGCAATATAGCACATGGCAATAAAATGGACTGAACGTGCTGTTCTGTACACTGATTCACATGTCATAAGAAAATTAAATCACCAGATTCACATGTTACACCACTTCATGGGTTAAACAGTGCATAAATTGACAAAGCTGTACAGGAATGAGTCAGTGCACAGCCATCCGCTCATGTCTCTAGAACCCAGCAACACCCCCATTCCTAGGTTTCTACTCATGACAACCAAATCAGAGTCTCTGGGTTTCAATGGGTTGACAACCCAGTTTTAACCCATCAACACATCATGGGGTCCCCAACTCCAGGTTTTTAAGCAATACTACACAGTAAAACTGCATGGA